GCTCGTGGAAGTCAGACTCGTGAGGAACAAGTCGGGATTCGTTGAGTTTTGGGCTGCATCGACCACATCTCCAGTTTGCGTCAGTTGTTGGAGCAACACCATGTTTATTGACAACCCACCGTCGTCGTGGTTCGCGACATAAAAGGTGAGACTGTCTGCAGAGAAAGGGGTGCCCGATAAAAATATCAGAGTGCTCTGCGCGCATAGTTCGGGCAAATTGGGAGTTTCCGGCAAAACTTCGTCGCTCTTCAATATCTCCAGCGATATGAGACAAGGTTGCCAGCTGTCGCCTATCCTCTTTAACTTCGCCATTGAGGAATTCATAGAAGCAGCGCTCGCTGGACACGACCTAGAAGGTGTAGAGCTACTTATTAGTGAGCGACTTCCTGAAGTGGAGCAAGCGGATGATATTGCCCTCATCTGTGATTTCGCCCAAAGATGCCATGCAGAACTGGACCGATTAGCTCTGTCTGTCAATCGCTTCGGGCTATGCTTCGTTCCACCGAAATGCAAAGTACTTATCCAAGGTTGGCAGAGACCCGCCCTTGCGCTAACACTTGTTGGTCATCAGCTAGACGTCGTTTAGAAATTCAAGTCCCTGGACAGCTATATTAGCGTCCGTGGGATCGAAGATGAGATTACGAACCGTATAGCTAAACTCGAGGTGCTTTTGCCAATCTCCGCCACGTGTGGCGCTGACGAATCATCATCCTCGCCTTGAGGGGCACATTTTATAATGCAGCTTTCCGTTCAACCCTCCTATATGGTTGTGAAACCTGGCCCATCAGGTAGACAGACATAAAGAGACTAGTCAGGTTCGATCATGGCTGCTTTCGCAGCTTAGCTTACATCTCGTGGGAGCACCGCGTGAGCAATGAATGTGTTCGGCGTCGTGTATTTGGTGAAGTAAGAGGGAGTAAAGCGCTCAGCACCGTTATATCACGTACGAGGTCCTGATGGCTGGGCCACGTGTTACGCATGCCAGCACACTGACTTCCGCGACGTGCATTGTTTTCGTGCCGAAGATGCGTTTGGAAGAGGAAAAGAGGATGCCAAGCGATAAGTTTGTTGAGAAAAATGAACCGCTGACTTCGAACTTGGAGTCGGTTGGTGTTTCCCAACTGTCTGGCTGTGGTCCCAAGAATGATGAACAGATTTGGTTGAACACACTGATATGGCGAAGAGCCGGCTCCAGTTGCGTTAGTGTTGTGAATTTCTTGGTTTCTCTCCCTACAATTACGATCTCACACGAAATGCATACTATGATACATAACAGTAGAATACCTGCTTTTTGTATTTTTTAGTGTAAATTACTAGTGTGCTATTTTTGTATTGCAGTACTTTAGCTATGGTATGTTTCCCATCGTCAGCTAACGTGCATTGACTTATATTGGCATATGATGGCAAGCAGGAGAACCTTAAGATTAGCAACAACCTTCCTGTTTGCCTCTTATCAAGAGCGCAAAAAGAACTATTCTTGTCGATATCTGGTGCTGAGAAATTGTGCACAGTAAACTACGCAGAAAAGTACCCAGAGAAACTAGGGGCTAATTACGGTTGCGCGCTGCAGTAGGAACCACAGTATTTGTACTGGATCTTTACTGTCATAGAACTGCTCAGCTATGAGGTGTGGACATACCAATGTGCAACTATAAGACAAGCTAATAGGATCTTAGGGAGGTATGGATATGTGCAAAGTAAACATTCGAGATCAGAGCGCCTAGACTTGTCAGCGCCTCAGGATCAAAGACATTAGGCTATCATAGAACCGGAGATTAGACAACCGCTTTTTGTACTGCGCCGTGACCAACTTTGCCCATGTCAACTAACTGCGCACCGCACAGGCCACAGCCACGCAGTCCGACCAGACAGTACGTTGGTGTATCGCACGGTGCCACATGACTACCTCTTACTGCATCCGGCTGTGCGTACAGCGCGTCCCACCGTGTACACGCAGTCTGGAAGCTGAAACTGTGGATTTTAAGCCGAATGCCCTATTCACTCAGCCAACATTGCCAAGAGGTCGTGTGGCATGGTGTATACCAGCCTGATACACCGTACATAGGCTGTATGAGTGCGTCCATGGAACGGTCTTGCGAGTACATGCGTGTTGTTCCTTCAACCAGGATCACGTGTCTACACTCACTAGCACCATCTAACTCTAAGGCCTACACGCGCGCTTTAAGACACTTGCGTACAGCACTTGCATTCCCGGTTTTACGGTATACTTCTAGGGTCCCATAGCTGTGCTTTTCATTTCGCTTGGGTGCAACACAGTCATTATGTTTGATTGGACGGAAATCGAACAGACGTCCATCTCGCAACTGTCAAGTTCTCACGAAGCAAACGTTTGTAACCTAGTGTCACGCGTTGCATAAGCAACCGCCAGATAACATCGTGAACCCAGTAAATCCTTGTGGCATTCGTGGTGGTGAAGTGCGGTTCGGTCCTCTAGGTAGAAATGGTCCCCGACCACCTCACATCCAGCTTCTGCGGCGTGTTGTGTGCTGGGGTGGGGAAGTGGGATGGGTGGTGCATGCTTACTTAGGTTTCTCCGTACAACAACAACAACAGCAGCAGCAGCGGGCGTATACGCCTCACTGACGCCTCAATACCATGCGACCAGTATCAGTCCTGCGCGCGCTGGAGACACCTGTGCAGATCCGAACCGGTGACCTGGACATTGCAAAGGACGCGCCGTAACACACCGACCAGCGTCAAACAATTTATTTCGTGATTGCAAGCATTCCGCTACTTCCATTAGCTAAGCTAAAAGGTAACCCAGAAGATGAGTACTGGTACCCGTGCATTGACACAATGAAGGTGCCGAGGAATCGTGCATTCTCTCGTTCATTACCAACCAATTGTCCATCATGTGGCACATTTACTTATGTTCCTGTTTCTCCATTTGAGCTCCCGGTATCATGTCGAACACGAAAATAAGAAGACGAATGCAATGACACTGTGGCCTAGGAGTAGAGACTTCAGCTGATAGGGCAAAACATTCCTCGTTCGAGTCGTACTGCAGCTTTCACTGTCTGATGAGAGCAGGCAAGTACAAAAACTATTGGGGAGTGCAAGGTTTTCGGGCGCATAACATGCAACATAAATCCGACTGCTTTTTCCACGTTCATAAGTCCTGCAGCACTCCTTTTTATTGCCTTGTTTAACTCATCAGTTGCGATTTTGCTCTATTTTACCGTGGTGACGTAATAATTGATATCTGCGTTTACCGCATATCGGAGCTCTGGCCATGGCTAGTAAAATGAACCCAGGTGTTGGGTCGCAAAGTATGTGTTCAGACATGCATTTCTGTTTAAACACCCAAAATGAAAACTTGTGTCATAACTGTTGACTAAAATAACTCATGCTTCCCGCAACAACTATAGGAATTAGACCCCTAACCCGGTGAAAATGTATGCACCTGAAAGACAAACTGGTCAAGGTACCCTGATAACACTCACAATCGACAACCATGATGTAGTAAAGAAAACGAGAGTTAACCTTAGTGTCAACAACATTACCATGTTAGCGGGAGTAAAGGTTGCGGCTTCAACAGGCAGATAAATGCACAGAGCCTTTTGTATTGTACCCCAAAAGCTTGCTTGTGATCAAGCCATCAAAATGAAAGCGGTGGAGTTGGTAGCTAAGAGGGAAAGGTGTAGCAGCAAGCGATGTGATCGCCCGATGCAGACCTGCGGAGAAGCCAAACAAGCGGGTTACTCGATGCAAATAATTTAACATACAGTTCAACATTCTGCACCGATCTCCGAAGTGTAAAACGAAATAGCAAGTTTAGGTGGAACTAAGGTAAACCGAGGAAACCTTCGTGCTGTTACGCTCTCTCGCTCTGCGATTGTGGACCACATGAAATCCACATGCTTGGAATGAAAACAAGTGTGGTGCGCGTTGCCGCAAAAACGTCCATAGCTGCACCATGGACTACCTCCGAACAGTCAGATTCCAGGGACCGAGTCACGGAACCCAAGCACTTGATGGGCGTAGATTTGGCAACCGAAGTTACCTAAGGCCGACTAGCTAGTAATGAAAGATGCCAACTCGCCAAATGAGTGCCTTCTGAATAAGTGTTGCTTAGTGGCAGGTTGTATCTATTCTACGCTTCGTGCCACACTCCAAGACTGTTATCGCTGTCCGCTGTACTCTTTATGAAGAAAAAGGCAGTATCGTGTATCCAGTCTGGAACATCGCGGCTACTGAAAGGTGCCTTTACCAGCAGCCTAATAAGTTGCGCGAATAACGCTTGTCACAGTGGCCAAGAGAATAGTGACTAGCAAAATGAGCACTGAATAGTAGGGTTTGGAGTGATCAGTTACGAAAGGTAACTAGCTTCAGATACGTGATGGATTGGATGAAGCACCACGCATGAAAATTTTAAGATATAAATTTGGGTCCACGCTTCCGTATGGATCTAAGTGCTTCTGCATCCTTCCATCTCGTGTAAAATCACTTGCAACAATGCAAGCGCTGGTGCGCTGATGGCACCTTGCACTTAGATAATCCACACATAGAGAACACTTGAACTGAAGTGCAGTGTTCATAGCATGCGAACGCCCTTGAATCGGAAATAGTCCGAAAGTTCGAGGTGATCGAGTTTTAGCTTAAGTAAAGACGGGCACAGGTTGAGAATACGCCTTGCACTTCAGACGCACAGCTGGAGCTTCAAAAACCCCAAAGAGCAACCGCTAATCGGTGTAGGAATCGTGGCTTTGAAAGCCACCAGTTGAAGTCACATACCTAAACGATGTATTTTCAGTAATACTACTCGTCTTAAAACGAAATCATTATTGGTAACTGAGAAGATATTGGCAATAAGCTAAACTGCAGTGAATGTTAACGAAACGGCAGTTACCAACTAACAAGTTAAGTGGTAAGCGACAGCATCAGATACTTTTAATGGCGTAAAAGAAGTTGCCCGAGATTAAGGCTACATCACTGAAAATTAACACCACTTCAGAAGGCAAAGTTGTGTCCAAACTTACTCCTTCGGGCAGGTCTCCAATGTAATACTCTTTCAGAATATTCAATACATGATCCTCGTAATGAAAAGCATAAAGAGCCCAGTATGGAGAGACATCGCCACCGGCTGCCAGGAGTATTTTGTTTCCTCCTGGATGGATGTCCACAAACTCCGTCACATCGTAAACTTTACCCTGGTAGGATACCCAGATGCCACCATCATCGACGGATTTATGTTTTGCAAGTTCCTCCGGTGTGATGATACGGCCACTTGATGAGGAGTCCTTAACAGATGAGGTCTTGCGTTCAACAGTAGTGCTTTCTGTTTTTGACTCAACCTTGTTCTTAACAAATGGTATTACGAAGGCGAATAGTGCAAAAGCGTAAGGTAGGGTCCCGTCAAGCTGAAAGTGATACTAAAACACCGCTGCAAGGTACCTCAAGACTAGGGGAATGTCGTTTGCTTTTGCTATAAACAACAGACGGTACGAGTGGAAATGTAGAGCTTTGAATGGTAGTCCGCAGAAAAATGAGTTTTTCTGTGGAGAAAATGTGGACTGGCTGTGAATAATTAAAATGCAAAATTAGGATGCAAAGTTACCTCAACTGCAAAGAATGTCGAATCACGGACAAACAATCGCCATTCTGTTAGTAGATAACGATTCCCGGCATGAAAGCAAGAAACTATTTTTCTTGCTGTAAGATGTATGCATGAAATCCATGAGTGGGAAAATACCTAGAGAGAGAAAATAGACCGTAAAAGTAGGACCCATTGAAAAGAATGTCTGGACAAATAGCAGCAAATCATGGAATCATAAGCTACAGTTCAAGACACATGGAAAAAAACGTTTATGTGAGAAAACCATTCTTTAATCAACTCGACATTTCGCCTCCTGTATCATCAGTGTGCAGAGTAGCAGCGAAAGTGAAGCCATGATCCTCATGATTTCGGTGAACTAAGTAAGCCCAACCTATCTCCTCACGACCGCCTGCACATATCCGGAGGTGCTGATGCAGCAATCACATGTTAAGTCGAAGTATATGCATCATTCTAAACTGGTAAGCTGGATTTCCGTTTAGAGACATCCAATCGTAACTCATTCGAGGCGATCAACTAAGGAACGGTACCAGCGCGTTTCGATGAGTAGGCTGCACTCTTGACGCAATCAGTGACACCTTTGTCAGTAGCGTAGCATGCTGCTACATGCAGAGGATATGAATGCGCGAGTAGGGCATTTGAACTTTTCATCTGGGTGGGATTTTCAGGTTTAAGATTGACAGCGCCGAGCGTTAGTTAAAATTGCGTTTCCACCCTCAGTTATTGCTAAGTGCAAGTGCGTTCAGACGCAATGAACACCGATGTACATATGCTGGCTCACAACAGGTTACCAGCGATGAGTCCAAATGGATCTACTGCCATAAGCTTCAGGTGGTATGGTTCAATACAAGATTATCGCTTGTGTTGGAATACACAACCACAGTCCGACCTGTCCTGGTGTGTTACTGGATGTCCTTAAGCTTCGCCTACAACAGAGCAAAAGATCTGTAGACTAACAACCAGGCCGTCTTGGATCTGGAAAATGTCTATCAGGAACCGGCACTACACTAAGCGTTCGCCTGCGTTCTCGAATTGCGTCGAATTTCGGCGGAATACGGTTGCTACTTCTGTGCTGATTCCAGAGCTAATTGTGAGCAGACATCTCGCGTCAGCGCACCGAAAACTGAATATCCGGAAGGTCCGTGACCCAGAAGAAATCCAGGAGAATAATTGGTGCTCTCACTGAGTACGGTGCAACCAGACGGATTTCCATGTACCAGCTAAAACGGAGATCACCGATGACCAGTAGAAACAGACTGAAACAACTAGCTGAGGGGGTAGTGGTGCAGAGGTGGCATCTAATTTCTGTGTGCTATTCCAGCTGATTATCAACAGTGAGGCAATGAGAAACAGCACCGGTGCTCAGTTCACGATGGGAATGCCGTCTGCTTTAAGCGGAAGGGCATGCTGATCAGCAGTTCAGTTAGTTCACCATCTCACAGCCGATACGTGCTCAGGTACTGCATAGTGAATAAACATCGAACAACATAAAGGCTACAAACGATTCAATGACCAGAAGACTCGCAGTTCTCCGCACTTTTCTCCCTGCGGATCCTGAGTTTAACATTAATATGATAGTTCAATAAGGTATGATGGGATAAAAAGCATAACCTTATAAAATCCAAAGGATTGAAAATGCACAAGAATATAAAAATCGAAAATGTTCCAACGTGGAACGTGAATCACCAGTAGTAAAGACATCGCACTTTATCACACAGTTGTATTACGTTTATCACTAAGATGAACGTCTACAAGCCTCGAATGTCGTAATATTTGTTGCGTTCACCACCTATGTTGGTAATGCGCTCCAGTGGGAACAGATTCCAAGAGAGCAAAAATAATTCCTGCAATCCAAACGGGAGTGTTGCGTTACTAGTTTCAGGTGATGGCCTCGATATATTTTGTAAGGGGCTAGGTTCAGCAGTGATGTACATGGATGCTCCGTTTTAGTTCGTATCCTGTAAGTGAGAATGACATCTCCGTGAAGCCGTCGGTATTCTGGGAAGAACACAACGAGTAAACAAAGGCGCAGTTCGTAACTGAGACCGGATAGTCCACGTGTTGCTTTGGTGGTTCTTTATTAGGGTTGCTTCAACGAATATCTCGTTTTAACCATGGGCGCCAGGTTTGAACCGCATATTCAACATGCGGACGATGATATGCGTTAATAAACAGTGGTACTAGCCATCGCTCAATGGTGCCGAGAGCACGCCTCAAAAGCCTCAGGTTTAAGTTCGCCACATTCGCTGCACGCAAGCACTGGAGCAAATTGCCAAGATTTTCTTGAACGATGATACCTAGGTCGCGTTCACCAGTCACTAGTTGCAAAACGTGATTCCCAAGAAGATATGTGTAGCTGAAGCTGCTACTCACCGCCAGCAGGTGGCACTTTGCAGGGTTCATTAGAAGCTGGTTCCTTTTAGCCACTTCGTTAATCCAGTCCAGATTGTTCTGGAGATAGGCACGGACGGATGCTGAGCGAATCACTCTTTATATTTTAGCATCATCTGCAAATATCTACACCGGGGATAAAATGTTTTCCGGGAGGTCATTTATGTAAACTAAAAACACCATACCATGGATACCGTAGGCGGCAAGCTTATGCAGGAGAACGAAGTTATTGACCTTGTCAAATGCCTTAGAAACATCTAAGTGTATAGCCGCACTTTAACTCGGCTCTCGCTTTGCCCTCTGTAGTTACTCTAATTCTGCTCACACAATATTGTGTGTGCACTCGTTTGAACCAGTTCGACGAGCTCAACTCATTGCTTCCCACCTCTCGGATCTAACTTGTGTGGATTATACTCCAGTTCTCAGTTTTGGCATGTTCATTGTCCAGTTTTACGTGAGTAACCACAAAATTCTGGAAATTTTCAGAAAACATTTTGGTTTCATTCGGAAGAAGCTGAGGACTTCCAAACTACCCGGCGACCATCCCTGCAAATAGCTGTATAACAAAGTTACAGTCATTTTGGTTCGTTCGTCTACTGAACATCGAGTCCGAGCGCCTACGGACGCGTATCAGCGCAACACCTCTATCGTTGCCTAAGACAGGCCGGTCAATACACGCCGCCGCTTTGTGTGAGTGGGTAGCTTCAACTGCGAGAGGCTTGATCGCTGAACGCCTCAGTCTGCGCGCCGCGCGTTAGGGAGACGGTGAGAAATATATCTGTTACGGCCGACTAACATTGGTGTGGGTTGTACAACTCACAACTCGCGTGGTAGCCGGGAATTCTTCTACCTCGCGCGGTAAATCAGAGAACGACGGATATTCAAACTTATAATTGTCCTACCACGGATTACCGCTTAACGGCAAAGTATATGAGCAATTTTAGGCCGTAAGTGACCACCAAACATCCCCTCAAACCACCTAAACCAGAAGATACGGAACATTAGATGCTTATTCCGTGTGATCCCCCATAGTTAATAAAGGCCACGAAAACAATATGGCAGCTTGCTAATGTCTTCCGAACACGAAATGAAGGAAAACTGGCAAGCAAATAAATCACGTAATCAATGTTGTGCAAACGTGCGCATTGGTGTTCCATCCCAACCTAGAATAATGTGTAATAATGACGTTGGAGTGCATAGAGGCCTTCCTGCAAGTGCATAACTATTTTAAAGCGTTAAATTTTGAATGTGTTCCTTGCGCATTTGCAATCGCAATCTTCTCTGTATCTTTTCAATTTTAGTACATTGACAGCCGGAGCGAGTACAGAAGGCGGCGCAATCAGCATTTGAATCCCGACCGCACGGCTGACAATCCGGTAGGTCACCACTAGGCTATATTCGGGTCGTCCCTGGCGTTTATATGTTAGGGGACAAAGCGTTCCTTACACAATTTACAGTTTTATAGGTTAACAAAGCTGCATAACACCAGTTCAGCATTTCGTCAGCATTTTTTTGCAGAATTTGGTCGCTACAGGTGGTAGAAGAATTGTCCACTACCAACTGGCGTACGTGTTTTGAAGCGTTTGTTTCGCGCACACGCCGCTCGGACAGACTTTGCTGCAAACGATAATAGGGCAACAAGTATTCCGATGGTGTAGCCTGGCCTATGTTCCTTAGATAATTGCGGCAGAGTCCTTAAGATCGGGGTAATCTGTTCTAGCTGCGTTACATCGTACTGTCCGTAATGTATAGGCAATTCCATCCGAGAAGAGAGACAAACCAACAAAGGTATTGACACATTTGGATTTTATCCAACATGTCAAGTTATTGCAGTTGCCAACTGCTTATCTCTGCTCATGAAAATGTGCAACAGGATGACAGAAATAATCGCGCATTTTGTAAATACCATGATCGCTCCCTCAAGGGTAAGTATGTCCACGCTAATACCACAGGCAGCCAACGTAAGCTCTGACTCTAAGCCGAAGAAGATAGCTGGACTCTCCAACCCTATTGCAGGATCTGTGTCTCTAAATCCTCTGGGTCACCTCACTCCCATAAGCGGACAAGTCTCAAACATGTCTGGTACCACTCCTTCAATCATGGACACCTCACCTGAAGACTCAGGCATGTCACCGACAACTCAGAGCCGGAGGCAAGCCGTGGCAGACAACAAACAGGTACCGTACGCATCGATTGCCCCCTATAAACAAACCGGGAGCAACACACGTAGGTCCATCTTGTGTAACGAGCACGCGTGGGGCGACGCAACTTTTACTGTCAATTCCAGCAATACCTCCTAAACAGCTCAAATTGCCAGCAAGAACTTCAACCCCACAACTCGCTGGACAAAATCATCCTGCGTTAACTCACATGTGCACCAATGTTGCCGAGTCCAAATATGGGACAATAAAAGGCAAGTTGCGAGACGATCGCAACCGGTGGTTCTATATATGATGCGGTTGGTATTCGGGTTGAGCCTACTAAGCTGAGACGCGTAGCGCGCCACCCGAACTCAGTGCACGCTAGTGAACCTCGATTTCTTCGAATAACTCTGAACTCAGCGGTCGAGACAGAGCCTGTCCAGCTCTCAGCAGTTCCCCTTCACAACTCAACGAGCGGAGTGCGCATATTGCCTGATGTACCTTGGAAAGATCGCACAAAAGAAACAGGTGAGCAACGCGGCATTCCTAATCGCAATAGTATGAAAACTATGTTTGTTCATGGTGTTCCCGAGCTTCTGGATTCTC